ACAGAACACATTAGAAAATTAAATGATCTGGTAGTCTCTGATCCCAAAGGACTAAAAATCCAGTTGGAAAGTAAGATCTAGACAGAAGAAAATCTAACAGCAACAAAAGGACCAATGACAATAAAGCCAACAAAATAAAAAGTAAGCTAGAATACCAGCCGTAAGTTCAGGAAAGGGAGAAAAGAACATAACATCTGACAAAAGATTTTTGGTGGCAACATTAGCTGTTTTAAGCATAAGCACACAGTTCACCCCTGTTTAGAAAGAGTATAGGTTTCTGCTAAAGGGTTGTAAGGGCCACAGGTAATGTTGGCATATGGTGAGACCTAGACTTTTGCACTGCTCCATTCACTACGCCAAGCCTGCTGCTCGAGATACAAGGGACCCTATAATTGCTTTAATATTGCTACTAACAGTGGAAATTGTTAAATTCATTACCTGATCCTTCTAAATTCCAAGCCAGTGTCCCAATTTAAAAAAAAAAAAAAAAAAGTTATTTCTTTTCCTTTTTTTTTTGAGATGAAGTCTCGCTCTGTCACCCAGGCTAGAGTGCAGTGGCACCATCTCAGCTCACTGCAGCCTCCACCTCCCAGGTTCAAGCGATTCTTGTGCCTCGGCATGGGATACATTTTTAATAGAGATGGGGTGTCACCACAGGCTGGTCTTGAACTCCTGACCTCAAGTGATCCACCTGCCTCGGCCTCCCAAAGTGCTAAAATTATAGGTTAAGCCACTGTGCCTGGCTGAAAAATGCTATTTTCATTTTAGCTTAATTTGTTCTTCCGTATAGGTCATGAAAAAAAAAGCAAAAGTTTGTCCTGTGTCCTACTTTAGTGATAGAAGTAAAATGGCCACTTTTCACGTGTTGATTTCCCTACATTGCGCCATATGGTTGCTGTGCTGGTGGGCTTAGGGGAGGAGGGGAAGCCATGCGTCTCCCATGGCCTCAGCTCCAGCACTTGCCTCTCAGGCCTGCAGGACTGCAGGTCCCCACCCTGCGTTCCTATCCCAGACCATCCCAAGCCTCCTGTCATTTAAAAGAGAGGAATGTGTTTACTTTTAAGACTAGAACCTTAAGCCTGAAATATAATTGGCTGCCCTTGATACAGCAGAATTTGGGCCAAACAGGCCTTATCCTGAGAGAATGCATGACTAAAAACTAAAAACCAGGTACAGTTGGTCATAAATGATAACATACTAGGGTGTTTCCAAATAACTCAAAGACCTTTTGCTGTTGGGAGACTGGCTACCTTGACTATTTATTAGATCCAATTGCAAGTAGAAACTACTCTTTAAAAGAAAAAAAAAAAAAAACACGCAGCTGTCTGTAGTCCAAAACCATGGAAACCAGCTCTCTCTGCAAACAATGAGCCTGCTTCCCGCCAAGACAGCCAGAGCTTCTCAGTTCTCATGATTTTCTTCCAAATCCCAAACAGCAAATGCCTTTAAAACGCACAAAAGAGCAAGGAGCCTACTGAATTGGCAGTTATTCCTGCTCCTTTCTAGTCAATGTCTGTGTAAAGAAAGGGAAGGCATAAAAAGATCTGTGTTTTGCTTGGTTAGGGTTTCCAAAGACAAGATGGCCTCAGGACAAGTTAAGCCTCGGCTTAGAGAGCTGCTTGGAGCAACCCAGGGAGCGCTTCTGCATTTTCATGGCCAATGTATGTTTTCCTTCTCAGCAAAGGCCTTGTTCCAGGGGAAACTGAAATGTATGAGGTCCAGAAGGAACCCCATAGAAACCACACTGCATCCCAACAGGGCCACAGTCAGCACATAGTTTCCAGGTTATAAACCTTCCTCCCCCTTCATCCTTCAATCCCAGAGAGTCTGCAGTCTGTTTTACAAACACTCTTGCAACATACGACTAGAAGCCCGTGTGAACTGGAATCTTAAATACACACCAAAATGCAGATAATGCTATCAGGGTCATCCTGCAAGGCCCACCTGTTCCCCCAGAGGCCAACCCAAGCAAAACTGAGACACGGCTGAGGCCCAATGCTGGAAGAGGCTTTCCACCTCCCGCCTCAGCAGCCGGCCCATGTCCACAGGCCCAAGGCAGTGTCCTCAGGCCCAAGGCAGTGTCCTCATGAACTGGGACCCTCTGTTCACACAAGACAGGAAGCTGTTACTCAAGCTACATGAGCACAGCCCAGGATCGCTTATCTCTTCCTGAGAACCTCTCCACTGCCTTGGGGTCAAGTTGCCCCTCAATGATCCCCGTATTTGCATATTGCTCCCACTCCAACTCCTTCACCAGGCTGTAAGCTCCATTCTGTTCACTGCTGCATCCCCGGTTCTTAGTTCAGTGCCTGTCAGCAGAAGCTCAATAGACATTTCTTGAAAGTTGTTGGAGCGTCAGTCGCGGAGAGATCCATGCATTGGAGTGAATCTCTATTGATAGAAGTTCAGTGAAAGAAATATGAGTAAAAGAGATACTTGGGGCAGAGGGCAACTTCCAAAAATCCATCAAATAGGCTGTCACCTGTGTATCAGCCTGCCCTGTGCATCCGCTGTAACCTTTATTGTGTCTTGGAGTTCTTTGAGAATGTGATTAAATCTATACACCCTTTATTAAAAATATATATATAGACACACACACACATACATATACATGCATTGTTGTCTGTAATTTCAAGAGTTTTAAAGGATGCCCTGAAGCACATTCCTGGGATCTCAGGCTAAGAACAACTGCTCCATCTTAAAATTTGATACTTTTCTCGGCTTCTATTTTAGTCTTCTACCTCCCTGAGGGCAGGAAGGAAATCTTAGTCAGCTCTGTGTCTACCATCATTCCTTGCACATAGTGAGGATCTCTTGAAAAAAATGCACACAAACTGAGAAAGCAATGAACCAGTGACTCTTGAAATTCAGCAATAGCACCAATCCTAAGCAATCCACCGTTTGCTTCTGTGTTTCCCTCCACCTACCCACCCATGGAAGCATGTCTAAGACTTGCAGAGTCAGAAATAAGCAGTGCTTCTGACCTCTACACAGAGCAAACAACCAAGAGTGCCTGCCTCAGGACATTGTCCTGTGTGATGAGGGAGACAGTTGCAGGACTGTCCCCAGAGATGCTTTCTAAACCTATGGGGGCATGTTTTGGTTGTCACAATAATTAGGGGGCCACTGTCAGTGTTTATTGGGTAAGACACCAGACATGTTGCAATGTCTAGGCTAATTCTGCATTGCAAAGAATTGTCCAAAGTCTCACATGACTCCCAATTGTACCATCAGATATTCATGTAGGTGAAAACGTATTTATAGATCTGTGATTCTGGATCCTAACTCTGTGTTCCAGTGTAATTTTGGTACAGTTCTAAATGTACACTGAGTTTTCCAAAAATGCAGCTACCACATAAGTCCATGTGAGATTGTTTGGCTGGAACTTTACCAAGAGCTGTTCTCCTTTTGACTAATCTCCATACTAACGTCTACATCTCTGTTGGGATTTGAGCCACCAGCGAAGCACACCTGTATCATGCTACATGTGAGAGCTATTTTATTCACAGTGATGCTACATAGGTATGTAAGCTCTGACTACTTTATCATGTCTTCTGCTGTAGTTGTACCGAAGCACTTACGTATTGAAATGTATATTCTTCTTTAAAACTATTTTTTTAACATTTCTCATTTATATTCCAGTAAGAACATTCTACTGAATTTCAAAATTATGTTTAGAAGTAAGTTTTGTCACTTAGATATTTAATTTCAAGAGATTAAAAGAAGCATTACAAAAAGGTTCCTATAAAAAGGAAATTAAGTCTGATAGTGAACTACAGCAATACCATTTATAGGGTGAATCATTAAGGATGCTTTTAGATGCAAGTAACAGCATGCTAAATGTGGTTTGAAAAATAAAGATGTTAGTTATTTCATAAAAAAAGAAGCCCCGAGGTAGGTATTTTCAATGTTGGCTTAGTGGCTTAATGCGGTGGAAAATAACCCAGGTGACTGTCATCTTTCTGCTGGGCTACTTTCAGTGAGTTGTCATTTATTCTCAGGATTGTCCCTTTGACATTGCAAGAGAACTGCTGCAGCAGTTCTGTATCCAAAAGAAAGAGGCACTAATTTTCCCTTGCATGGATCTTTTAACTAAAGAGGAAGATTTTTTTCCAGAAGCTCCAGCGAAGACTTTCTTTCTGGTTTAATTCGCCAGGATTTAACTAGATGCTGATGGCAGCAAGGGGAGCTGGGAAAGCTAGTGTTTTCAGTATTAAATACAGGTGGCTCTGCTGGCAAGGCTTTGGACGGGGGACTCAGGGGCACAGGTGCAAATGGCTGTTGGTTGCAATCATAACTGTTTGCTATGATTACTCAGAACAAAAAACATCTAACAAATGGTATGTTTTAGAATGATATATCAATATGTTTATACTTAACCAAAAGTATGGAAAAAAGTCATCAGTGAGACTATGTTTAATGGTATTGATTCTGCATACCCTTTTTCTTCCTAGTTGCCACAATTTATTGGTTTTTGTTTATTTTTTGTTTTTGTTTTGTTTTTCTTTTTTTTGAGATAAGATCTTGTTCTGTTGCCCAGGCTGGAGTTCAGTGGCACGATGACAACTTACTGCAGCCTCAACCTCCTGAGCTCAAGCCATCCTCCCACCTCCAACTCCCAAGTAGCTAGGACTACAGCTGTGCCACCATGCCTAGATAATTTTTCATTTTTCTGTAGATACAAGGGTCTCTCTATGTCGCCCAGGCTGGTCTTGAACTCTTGGGCTCAGGTGATCCTCCCACCTCGGCCTCCCAAAATGTTAGGATTACAAGCATGAGCCATCATGCTCAGCTCTAGTTGCCATAATTTGATTTTAAATCAAAGTGGCATGTTCTATGTTCAAAAATGATTCAACTGTGCCACCTACCTCATGGCTTTACTGTGGGCGACAAGTGAGAATACATGCAATTACACCTGTAAGGTATTCTTGATCTGATAGCATTATCCCCAAAGAATGCATATGAAACGTAGCTGTAAGTTTATTTATTTATTTATTTTTCACAGAATACAAATAAAAGTTTATTGTACAAAATTAAGGCCTTCGTATTTCATAGTTCACCAAGGCTAAAGAAACACTAGATAATTTAAGTCCTTCACAAAAATTTCACTTTCACTCCCCGTAATCTCTATTACAATGACCCAACCAAATGTTAGCAAAACAAACACTATAAATAACACCAAGTCCTTTAAAGATGACTATCCCAAATGTTATTTCTTGGCATAGGTGATCTTCATAGCATGGGATGTTGTGATCTTAAATCCCTGCAAAGCATCCCTGGCAGCTCCAGCCTGACCATCATTTTCAAATTCAACAAAAGCAATGTCATGCCTCCCTGGTACTAGACATACTTCCTTGAAGCCAGGGAACTGATTAAACAGCATGGATAACATCATCTCATTAGTCTCTTCTGGTAAGTTATTAAGGAATAAAATATAGTTTGGAGGATAATCAAGGACCTGAGGATTTGGTGTTGAATTTCCTTGGATATTAGCTGAATTTGGAGTTCCCTAGCCAGGCCTTTTGTTTGTGGTGGTTGCAGTCTATTCCACAGTTTTGCCCTTCTTCTTTTCTTTGTCAGCAAAAGTGCCGCACATTTTAGATATTATATCCGAATCTGTTTTTGCATATATATTCACATTGGTTTACCATGAAATGGAAATCCTTGTGACTGTCTCAAAGCACTTGTGGATGAGCCCAGTTCCTTAAATATGACAAAGGCCTGCCCTTCATCTTCATGGTCCTTAAAGCCACAAAGTCCACCACATGACCAAACTAAGAAAACAGGGCATATAGGGATCTCTTCAATTCTTCCTTTTTAATTTTGCCATTCACATTGTTGATATAAATTGTATGATTTGGTCTGATACCCATGTTTGAGTTAAATTCTTCAGAAAGAGACAGTAAATAATCTAAGGCCTACGTCGTCTCCCATAAGAAACAGAAACTACTGTAAGTTTATTTTAAGCTAGGTTTCACAGCCTAAATGAAAATAAAATGGAAAAAAATGTGTGAGATTGAAATTTTGCAATCTAACTTTCAAATTCACCTAGAGATATGATAGGTTAGACTACTAGAATACTGAGAATGTAACCTTTTAAAAAATGGAAATAGCAAGAAGGGCAATCTTCTGTCCTGTTTTAATCCCCACTGGCTATGCCCTGTCAAGATCTAGAACACAGTTAGGCACTAGAACCAGGAGCCAACAAAGCATGATGCTGCTCTCTGCAGCCGCCACATGCTGAGCATCTCCATGCTCTTTGGTGCTGCTCAGTGGAGCCAGAGTTAACCCCAGGGACCAGATGTCAGGGTTTGCCCAGGAAGGTCTCACTTTACTCGTACTACGGATACGGACAGGAGGCAAGGAAATACTAGGTAGTAGAGGGCGTTTCCCCAGCAAAGGCCCCACCCTCAAGCCTGGAAACCCGAGGCTTTAAATGGGAATAGGCATTCCTGTTTTTGCCCCCAAATGTTGCCTCTTCCAAGACCACCGTGGCCCACCACACCCCCATCCTATACCTATAAAAATCCCAATCCCCAGGCTCCATGAGCAGAAGTATGGCAGAGCAGCAGAGCAGCATGGCAGAGAATGAGAGAAGAGGGGAAGCATCTGAGAGGAGTTCGGCTGGGGGCATTGGGAGAGGAGATCAGCTTCAGGATGACTGAACTCCAGGAGAAGATCATCTTCCCACTCTATCCCCTCTCCAGCTTCCCATCCCACTGAGAGCCACCTCCATCACCCAATAAGATCCCCGCATTCACCATCCTTCAAGTACCTGTAACTTCATTCTTCCTGGATGCAAGGCAAAATTTGGGATGCACTGGGTGCAGAGACCCAAAAAGGCTGTCACCCTGACTCTTCGCTGAGCTGTTTAACACTTAAGCCATCCCCGGACAGCAGGGCTAAAAGAGCATTGTAATACTCGTAGACATTGCCATGGGGCCAGAGCCCAAAGGCGCTCACCCTGGCTCCGTCTCCTGCTCACCTGCATGCTCCCCTCCTGTAAGAGATTTGAGCATGTGGTGGCCAAGCAAACGAGCCACACCCCTGTTGCAAGTCCCACAGAGGGGTCCAGGGAGTCTCCCATTTCATTACTCCTACCCTAATTAAAAGTGTGCTGGTTTGGGGATAGTTACTCCATGAATCGATTTTGAAATTCTAGACCGTAAAGTCTCAACTCACACCCAATCTCTCAGCTGAAGAAAGAAAAGTTAAAAGAAAGGGAAAGTTGTAGGGTTGGGGAGTTGGAGCAGAAGAGGGTTAAACAGGAAGGAAAAAAAGAGTAGGCCATTAAGAAAATAAAAACTCAGGCCCTACATTAGGAAGAACAAAAATCCAGAATGCCATTCCTCCAGGTATTCTCCTTCTTGGCTGGGAGGGCTGGTGGGGAAGGAAAATTTCACAACAGCCCAATGAATGGATGGCTTGTTTCCCTCCAAGGAGGCTTACAGCTGGACACCAGTAGTCCGAATAGCGGTCCTGTTTCTCAGGCAGGCTTCCAAGGCCGCCAAGTGTTACAAGCCCTTCATAGAGCAGTGGATTTTAAAGGTGAATTGAAACTATTTTAAGATCCCTCTTGGGTAGCAGATGGACAGAATGACGGATTGTTACTATGGTGTAGTTGTTTTCATTCCTGGCCCAATTGCCGCACTAAGCACACAGCACTGTGGGCTCCACAAGAGACAGGCATGGTTTGCTCTCTCTGCAAGCACAATGTGTTCTGTAAAACATGCAAAGAAAGAAGAGTGGGAACCAGATTACAAGTTCTTCTAAATAAAATAGAAAAACATTTACTAGGCCATAATAGGACTAGGCAAGCTAATGCGGAATTTCGCTTTGATATTATCTTTGAGACCCAGTTGGGGGAAGGGGGGTGACATGTATGTGAAATTGTACTTTCAGGAGTTTTATTCAGTAATCCAAAAACTAAGAAGTCTTTTGATTGGATCAGTGTTACCCAATTTTGGGGCCAAAATAATAATAATAAACTTTGGTATACCTCAGTGGTTAAGAGTTCCAGTTCTAGGCCAGGAGTGGTGGTTCACGCCTGTAATCCCAGCACTTTGGGAGGCCAAGGCGGGCGGATCACAAGGTCAGGAGATCAAGATCATCCTAGCTAACACAGTGAAACTCCGTCTCTACTAAAAATACAAAAAAAACTTAGCCGGGCGTGGTGGCCGGTGCCTGGAGTCCCAGCTACTCAGGAGGCTGAGGCAGGAGAATGGTGTGAACCCGGGAGGTGGAGCTTGCAGTGAGCCGAGATCGTGCCACTGCACTACAGCCTGGGTGCCAGAGCTAGACTCCATCACAAAAAAAAAAAAAAAAAAGGTTCCAGTTCTAGATTAGATAGCCTTGATTCAAATCTCAGCTTCATCGGTTACTAGTAACTCTAGGCAAGTTTCTTAAACACCTTGTATCTTGGTTTTCTCATCAGTAAAATGCTGATGTTGCCTCTGTCATAAGGTTGTTGGGAAGAGCTGATAAACAAAATGCTTAGGACACTGCCTGGCACATCCTGGAGCTTGTTAATGTCAGTTGTGGTGGTAGCTGTCACTGTTAAAAGGTGTAATTTCAAGGTTCCATTGTAATCTCTTAAATGTGCTTAGCTATGCTCAAGTTGGCCAGCCAGGGAAAAATGTTTTTTTCAGAGATAAGGTACTGATATTTCGATAATGCTCCCAGTTTCCCTCCCTTGAGTAGGTCAGGAAGGAGGAAGGTTTGTGAAAGAATGGAGCTATTATAAAATATAGTTACAGGGTTGTATAGCTCTAAGGGGTTTCTGTGCTGCCCTGGTTACTTCTCTTGCAGAAAAAGTGTTTGGGAGACTGAGGCTGGCAGATCACGAGGTCAAGAGATCGAGATCATCCTGGCCAACATGGTGAAACTCCGTCTCTACTAAAAATGCAAAAATTAGCCAGGTGTGATGGCACGTGCCTGTAGTCCCAGCTACTTGGGTGGCTGAGGCAGGAGAATTGCTTGAACCCAGGAGGCAGAGATTGCAGTGAGCCGAGATTGCGCCACTGTACTCCAGTCTGGTGACAGAGCTAGACTATGTCTCAAAAAAAGAAAAGGAAGTGGTAAGAATTCATACCAATTAGAGTCACCAAAGCTGGGAAGGTAGGACTGAAATGTTTTTGTTCCACAAAAGTTTTCTGAGCCTTTGCCTGCACAAAGTACTTTATTAGGACATTTTCGCGCTACCTGTGTGATGCTCAAGGACTTCATTCATTCACTCACTTATTCTACAAGTCCGTGAGCATTAACTATGGATCAAGAACTGTGCTAGGGGCTGGAGATAGAACAACAGACACAACAGGGTCCTAACCTCAGGGCCTCACAGAGTGTGGGGGATGCTGACCAGTAGCAATCATGAGTGATAGCTCAGGAACTCAGGGAGCAGAGAGGAAAGGGCCAAACTCATCACTTGATTCACGGAAAGCAATCTCAGGTTCTAGCACGGGCAGAGTCCACATATGGAAGTGTTTCAAAGTGGAGAATTCCTGATTTGATGTCAGACTTAAAAGAGCAGGTAAAACTCAGAGCCAATTTAGTATGAGCAGCGAGGGGAGACAGGGGAGTTGGCAAGGCAGGGACTAGGTACCACTCATTAGTTCTTTGCCTGCAGCGTGATCAGCCTTGTGTTAAGCCCTTTCCGCCATGCTCTATGACAATCCACTGAAGTCAGGAGGCTGTTGTCTTTTGACAGATGAGAAACCTGAAGCACAGGGTATTTAAGTGGCTTGGTCAAGGTCTTCCAACTGCTTAGTGGTGCTGGGTTAAGCAGATGGCTGTGGCTTCAAGCTTTGGTTTTTCCATTGCCCGACGGGGGCTTGGTTCCAGGAAGGCAAGTGGACTCCATCCGGGATATTATGAAAGGAAAACTAAGAGCATGTTGTTACATCCAGAATGATGGTAATATGTTTAAAATTAGATTATATTAGGAAACTGGCAATACTATGTGCCCCTAGGTGTGATCCAGCCTGGATGGGCAAGTCAGGCAAATAAAGATCATTATCAATAGCCTGATATGCCCAAAGTGTTAATTTGCACATAGGACTTGCACTGGCCACTCAATCAGGCTACTTGTGACTTCTCTTTCCCTGAGATACCTATTTGGCCCAGGGATGTATGCAAATGAGTTCTGGATGTTCATAAAAGCTCTGTCTCCCCACAAAATGCAGATTGCCAAGTGATGCATCTCTTCCAACCAAGTTTTCATTCTCACATCTTTGGTTCTTTGATTGATTTTGCTACTCCATTTCTAGAACCTTCTTTACCATCACCCCCATCTTGGGTTGGTTTGTGTTTATATTCAGCTCTAAGTAACAGAAACCTAAACAATGGCTTCAAAGAACCATGAGGTTTAATTTTTCTTAGTGGCAGTTGCTAGCATTAGTGGAGATGTGAAAATGTTGATCCTGTCAAGAAGTAAATTGCTTGCATAGATGGAAAGATATTTCATACTACCCCGAGTCTCCAGATTGTTATTTACTGTCCTAGATGGGGCCATTTAGTTTTCATGACAGGCTGCTGACTTTCTAGTTACTGTCTTCTCTCTAGCTGGCCTGGCTCCATTCTAATTTCATCAGATTCAGTCTATTATTGGGCCAACCTGGAGCTTCCCTGGGTAGCTGCTCCACTTGCCAATGGTTCAGAATGTGGGTCCTGGGTTAGCTCTGAGATGCCCTTCATTTTGAGTTGCTGAAGCAGAGCTTTCACACACCCTCAGTCCCATGCTCTTTTGAGGGCACAGAGAAACCATGACATGGGAACAGGAGATCATTGAAAAGCCTACTGTGTGCCAGGTGCTTTAGACACACTTTCTCCCTCATGCCTCATGAGAACCTAGGAAATGAATCCTGTTATCTTTTCCATTTGGGAGATGAGGACACAGGTTTAGAAAATGTGAATAAAAAGACTGTATGCCAGCACGGGTCTGTCTGATTCCAAACCCTATTGTCTTTCCAGTCACACTGTGCTGAGCCCTGAAAGTTCCAAATTGTCCTAAGTTCCTTAGATACCTACATCAAGGGTGGGGCAGGGGTGGAGAGGAGAGGTCAGAGTAGACACGATATCTCAGGGAACTTCGGATCAGGCCAGAACCCCAGGGGCTGGGTGCTACAGAAAAAATTTCCCTGGAACCTGCTAGTGACCCAGACTAGGGTCTCTGATGATTATGTAACAGCCATAGCTCCCCCAGACGGCTGGTATCCACAATGGCAGAAACAGGGGATCCCTTATCTAGCTTAGATATTCTATAAGAGCTAGGAGAAATCATACCTAGGTCTACACTACAGTTAGGCAGAAAAGGTTCAAAATGCCGAGTTGCCTTGCTCCTTGCAAGAGTCACATCAGCTCCTGTTGGTGGTCACTTACCTTGCACTCATCAAAAACTATAATCAGTGCTTCCATATCTCTCTCATTAAAAAATGACTTAGATTTCATAATCATTTCATAATCACACAGGGGGCAGTACACAGACCCTCACTGCCCCAACGACATTTGCAAAAGGCACTGGAGCAGAAAGCGTCTGTGTACTGCCCCCCAAACTGACCCCCATCAAGCAAAGATTTCCACAGGGGCCCTTGTGTTCTGTCTCTAGAAGGAGAGGTAGCAACCTGCTGATCCTGTGGGCTCAGGTCTCCTTACCCATCCCTCACTCCTCACCAGCATTAGGAGACCCCATACCCCTTTCTGGTCATCACTCTTTGTTCTATGGATTGGGGCAGTGCCACTCATCCACAGAAGAGGACTTCCATGTCTATAGTGGTCTTCGCCATTTCCCAGCAAATGGCCACAAGATATCCAGTTCTTTCATGTCCTCCCAGGTAGACATCCTGCATGTCTACCCCAGGTCTCACAGTTCTCTTGGGACTGCTTGGCCTGAAAGGGAAATAAGCAAATGGCTTGTCTATACCATACCTGTTTACAAAAGCTATTTCCTGTGGGGAACTGAAGAAAAAAGATGGAACAGGAAGGAAGATTCTGTGTGTCGAGCCTCTGGAAACAGGAATCAATGAAACTTAAGTTCTCTCAGAAAGTGTGGGGTGCATTGTACAACTTAACTTTAGGGAGCATGGTCCAATACAGTGCTTCCCATCCTCTCTATTGTCATGGTGCACGGGGAACATGATTGTATTTGAACCACACGCTGGGGCACAAGGTAAATAAGCAAGGCCGCTCACAGCCAGAAACAATAGGCCAGGAAGCTCTGGAAACCCCAGACCCCACCAGGCCGTACTGAGAACAAGGAACTCAAGTCTGGGCACACCATTGGGAGCCTGTAGTCCAGGCAATAGAAGGGTTGATGAAAATCCAGAGGAGCTCAATCCTGTCGTCACTGATGTGTGTATTTTTCCCCTGGGCAGCTCAGGAACCAACACAGCTACTTGGTGTCTGGAGCAGCTTTCTAAAACCTTCCCTCTCTGAGCCTCGACTTCACCTCAGTCTAAAAATCACTCAGCAGCTCTGAACTCCTGATGATCAAGGGTCATTCTGATCATACATGATCAATTCTGTTTCTCTCATATAGCCAAAAAGTCAACAGTCCCCTAGGGAAAGGAAGGAAGAGAATTTGTATGATTCACACCATTACTGGGCAGTTTGTACTTTATCTCTTCCTTCCATAAAGCCGTTAGCAAAAAAACTGTTGTATTTTGATTGGTGACACCCCACAAAAGGTCTCAAGACACATCTGCTATTTTGTTTTTAATAGCTCCCACCTTATTGCATCTTACTGCTAATGTAAAATGTCAACCAGTACATTTTTAAGTGGGCATTTTTAAAATAGTTTATTGCATCTTCAATTAAATTTATGACCTAACTAGCTGTTGCAAAGTTATATGAAAGTCATGATTGGAGTTCACAGCATTGATGCTAAAAATAACCTAACAAAAGGAAGAAGTGACTTAAATTCATGTATATGTTTATCAAATTTAATTTAATGGGTAGCTTTGAAATGACCCAGCAATCTCACTCCTAGGTTTATGTACCTGAAAGCAAATTGTGCATAGATCCGC